CTTTAATAAGCAGGTACAATGCTGACAACCTGGGATGAAGTCAGAACTTACTTGGTAGAGTACCTGCCCAGCACAAGTGGACCTAGGTTTGATCCCCAGAAATACCTATGAAATAGGCATGGAGAAGATGTACCTGTGGAAAGCTCTTACTCGGCGAGTGGGAAGAGAAGGATCAGAAGTTCAAGGCCAACCTCAGCCTCAGCTAACAAGGTCAACAATAGCATGGACTACATGAGAATCTGTCTTGAAAAAAAAAATCTGATTTAATCCTTCAAACAAGGAAATAAGAGAAGTCATGACGTCAGGTACTACTGTTCTTTTCACCTCCAAATGACAAACACTGGCTTAGATAATAGTGAACTCATCAAGGGTTCAAGCCCAAGCTGTTTTCATGGACCCAGTTCTACTTGGAGTCATCTTTGAAAGAGGAAAGACGGCACCAGTGCCCTGCTGTCTGAACAGATTCTTTAAGTCCTTTATCCTCTAAGAGGGAAGATTAAAGAAAAACAAAATCAAACCACTTCTCTCTTGCCACCTCCTCCCCCAGCCTAATGCTGGAGAAGCTGAGCCTTCTGTGAACATTGGGGTGTTCATTTCTGTGGGGAACCTTCCAGTTCTCTTACTAGTTTGGAAATTAAGGAAGACTTCCTTTCTATTCTGTGAGTGGAAGCAAGGTCAGTCCACCCCATCCATGATGGGCGGTAACAGTGGTGAATTTGGGGTTTGTAAGCTTTGGGGGATGGTCTGATGATACACCACACACACACACACACACATACACACACACATACACACACACACACACACACACACACACACACACACACACACCACAATCGGGCATGCTTACACACAGTAAGGCATCATTAGGGAACCTAAGCACGCCTTCTGGGCCCTGAGCCTGCTCTGGTCTTTTAACTCAGGACCACCTGCCTGGTTGGCCAGTGGCACTTCCTTGGCAGAGGCTCTGGCTGTATTCACTGTTCCATCCTGGGCAGAGAGGTGTATTAGTTGTTGTTTCTGCACCCAGATCAGCCAGCCCCAGAGGAGAGGCAGAAGTGAGAAGGGAGCTGAGGTAGCCCCTAATAGGGGAAGGAGTGGGGTGCCTTCTTTTCCTTTCTGCCCAGTGCCTCCTCTTCAAGCACATTTCCAGAAAGTGGCCTCATTCTCTTTGGTTGGCTGGAAACTTCCTCCCCTTGGAGCCAAATATTCCCTCCTCTTCAGAACAACACAGTGAAGAGCCCAGCCCCTGCATATGCTTTGCAACTCCGGCTGCCTCTGGAGAACAGCTCTAGGGCAGGCATAAGTGGTCCAGCCTACCCCGGGTGGAACTGGGGCTCCAATCCCTCCAGGGGCTGCATGAAATCCTCTAGCTGTCCTAGCTTTACCAAGGAGACTGGGATGGGGAGGGCCCACAGATACTGACTGTCTGATTCCATCTTCCACAATGAGGAAGGGATGTAACCGGAAGCAGTCTGGCAGCCTTCAAGCTGCTTCTAACTTGGGGCTCCGGGCAGAAGATTTGTAGGGGAGCTGGGATTTTAACACCTTGCAGGCTGGGAAGCTGCCAGGCTCTGAAGGGCTGTGGCTGTGCGGGGAAGCTTCTTTTTTTGTCTCTCACACCCAATGTAGCACGTAGCACTTCCTAAGCCTTGCAGCAGATGGGCAGATGTGGGCGAGAGAAAGAGTGAGGTGTGCAGGAAGAATGTGTGCTTCCGGTTGGGGACACTTCACCTGTGGTACTCTGGAAGCTGAGGAAAGCTCTTGCCGATTCCTAATGCAGTGGAAGAGATCAGAAAGTCTCTAAGGTACTACAATGCATCATTTAAGACCCACTACCTGAGCTAGACAGATCCATGTTCAAATCCCTGCTCTGCCACGCAGTAGCAATGGCTGATTTTCACAGATTTTTCTGTTACCACTTCCATACACAATTTGTCTGAAACCTCACAAACCATATGGCCTACATACTGCTCTATTCACATTGGGCTGAGGTTGATGGAGGTTTAGAGAGGGGAAGTCACCTGTCCAAAGCTGCACAGCTAGTGACGTTGAAACTGAGCCCCAAAGGACAGACCTTGACATTTCTGTGCTTGCTCAGGGACTTGCAGGGCCTTCTGTTGGCCATCCGAGCTTGAGCGCATTACTCCCTTATTCCCAGGCAATGGGAAGATGGATATTATTTTCCATGTTTATCAAGAGAGTTTAATAAGATGAGCCTGGTACAGCTTCAAGCCAGAGACTGACTTATAACAGCTTTATCCTTCTCCTTCCTTCCTTCCTTCCTTCCTTCCTTCCTTCCTTCCTTCCTTCCTCTCTTCCTTTCTTCCTCAAACATTCCAGGTACTATTCTAGCTTACAAGCTAGCAAAGGACCCCAACTCTACCAAAGTAGCTAAGGAAGTAAAATAAAATAATTTCAACTTTGTGGCATGTGTTATAAAGAAGACAAAACATGATGAAGTTATACCTTAGAAGCAGTGTGGGGGTGGGGGCATTTCCACAGATGGCTGAGGAAGGGCTCTGTGAATAAGTGGCAGCTGAGCTTAGTTGGCAGAGGAACAGAGCCAATGAGTTTCCTAGGTTGAACCTGAAGCAAGCTCAAGGCCTGGTGTTAGGAAGGCTGATGTGGCTGGAGCAGAATGGGCAGGCAGATGGGTGGGATCAATAAGGGAACTAAGCGGTAATGTCACCTAGTCAACAAGGCAAGGCTGTGAATGCCCTCATGTTGTGTGACTTTCCCTGGGGAGATGTGAACAACTGTCTGGCCACTCCAGACAGGGCAAAGATGAGTCAGTGAGCTTTCCTGGGTTACTTACAGCAGGAGTACATGTGCAGAGTTATTTATAGGAGTGTGGGTGACCCAAAGACAGCTGCATCACAAAAATAAAATATAATATAAAATAAATAAAGTACCTAGAATAGGTGACTGTGTGCTGCACAAATGACAGGCAGCTTAACCCATCAGAGACTCTTCTCTCCACAGCAATCGTTAGTACTTTTATAACATTGGGGAAGGAGCCTTGTGAACCTTGTAAATTTCCGTAACATCCTGAGTTTTGTAAGTTTCATCTCACAAGATTCCTCTACTTCATTAGTCTTACCAACCTCCTCCAAAAGGAATGTTTCAATGCAGAGGGAATAGCTGTATAATACACGGGAAGGTGCTCGCAGAGGGGATAAACTTTGATGAAGTTATATCAAGAGTGTGCCATCTGATTTAAGATTAAAAAAAAAAAGACAGGTTTGGCAGTTGTGTGGGGAATAAAATGCTGGGTGGTAAGGATGTATGCGGGACAGCTTGGAGGAGGCTGTGTCTTCACAGGGCCTCACAGTGGACAGCAGTGGATGATGCTTTTCATGGCGGAGTAGGGCAGCAGCCACACATCTCGGCGAAGAAAAAATTACACATCTTAGCCATTAACAAAAGTCTTGGGCCTAACCCATGTCAAAAGTAGGGTGTAGGATCTTTTCCTATGACCATATTCATATTTCTACTGTCATATTGTCATGGATGAGAACCTACTGACATTTCCATTTCTCTTATTAGCGTTGGAGTTAGCTTTTCAGAAGGTTGGCTCTGAAATGTAACTATAGACTACAGTATGTCTACAGTTGATGTATCTCGATTTCTGTAGAGAACTGGGGTAGATCATTTTCCCCTATGATGCTGTAGATGGTAAGTATTTTCATTTGTTGAGATCTGACTGTCTCCTGTGACTACTCAGCTATTATTTACTATGGTGAATTTGGCTGAAGAGCCAAATACAGTGTACTAACTAGTGGATGTGCATGGCTGTAGGCAAGAACATTTTGTGTTTGTTGCTGTTTTTTAATAGTGTCCTGCTCTGTAACCTAGGATATCGTTAAGCCTCTTCTTGCTTCAGCCTCCCTGGGTACTGGGATCACAGGTGTGCACCACCACACCCAGCCCAACGAAACTTCATTTACAGCAACAGGGAATAGGCTCCCTTTAGCTCGCTGGGTTATAATTTGTAACCAGCTAATGGAAACTGTTTGTTTACATTACTCCCATGATATTTTACATAAAATCAACTGAAAATGTTTACCACAATTTTTCAGAAATGTACCTTAATATGTACCTTACCATACAATTCAAAGAACTCCCCTGTTATGGACTTCCAAGTCTTAGGGTTGCCTTTGGAAACGCTTTATGGGACCAGGGAAGCAGGAAGTGGAATGCTTCTGGCTCTTACTTCTGCTTTAGCAAAAAAACTTGTCTTTTATAGACAGTTTGCCATTTTAGTTGACAGACTTAATGAGAGCTTGAACCAGGGAACTTGGGGGTAAGGAAAAAAATGTGAAAACCATTAGTCTAGTTCACCTGATGGATGCCATTTGTCTTTTCTAGTGTCATACACTAAGGAAGAATTTATTACATAGTTTGTCACAAAGCAAATCCACACCTGGTCACAGAACAGGGTAACATATACATTGTTTGACCAGTTGGGAAGGAGAGAGATGTGAGAGTCAGCCTTCTGCAGGAGGTAGCAGGAGAATGAATGAAGACACACAGAGGCAGGTGATAGGATGTTCTGGACGTCACATCAGGCATAGGCCAGCCTCAGCCTCCCAGTGACAAGACTGGAAACCTGGGATGGTACCAGATGACTGAGTGGAATAAATGAATTAAGTTACACAAATTCCCTAGAAACACACCGTTTCCTTTTGTTCTTTTATTTTGTCCTTTAAGATGTAACCAAAGTAAATTTCTTGGAGCTAGAGAGATGGCTCAGAGGTTAAGAGCAGTGGCTGCTCTTCCAGACATCCTGAGTTCAATTCCTGGCAACCACATGGTGGTTCACAACGGTCTATAATGAGACTTGGTGCCCTCTGCTGGTGTGCAGGTGTACATGCAGACAGAACACCGTATACATAATAAATAAATAAATAAATAAATCTTTAAAAAGCTGTTTTTCCCCATATCTCTTCTGTTGACCCCATTCTCTGTGTCTCAGTTTTTTTTTCTTCTCTTTTCAGGATGTGGCCAGGTTCTTCGAGCTTCGAAGGGTCAGATCCTATTGGAGAGCTACCCCTTAAATGCTCACTGTGAATGGACCATTCATGCCAGACCTGGGTTTATCATCCAGCTGAGGTAAGGATCTTGGTATATAAAGCACATGAGCCTATAAGGAGACAGATGGGATGAGGGTCCTGTGTCATGGTGACCAGGGAAGAAACACTGACACCACAGACTATAGCATAGTTTTGTCTCTTAGAAGGACTCTTTCTTTCCCTTTCTGAAAGAGTAGAATGATTCCATCACTCATAGGGTTTCTGGGGATGTTGTTCTTCTCTATGCAGTACTGAAGGTGGAGGTGTTTGACACCCCTGGTCCTCTGGGTTACAAGCTTTCAGTAAGCATTTTCTGAGTGAACCAATTCATGCCAATGTTGCCACATGCCATTTGGCTTCTTAAATGGCTTCCTGCCCCTCAAGAGGAGCAACATGGTACCGAAGCTGAAAGGGAGAAGCAAACTAGATCCTTCCCTAAGTCCTTCCTAAAACTAGGTACTTGATATCTGGTGTCCCCTGAAACTGGGCTTGGGCTTCTCTAGAGGGAATCTGGTCCAAGGAGCCATTGATGGGCCATAGTCTTCCTGCTTTAATGGGCTCTGGGCTGGGTCTGTGGGGATGAGGAAGCAAGTGCTAAAGGCTACAAGTTAATATTTCAGTAATTCAGACAAAGACGAATGGTTATTTCAGAGCCTCTGAGAGTGTGTCCAAGACACAGGGCACAAAAATAAACCTCTCTTAAAATAAAATGGAAGATCTAGAAAATGTCAGCTATTCAAAAGTCTCAAAGAAGCACAGAAACACACGATTTCATTCCACTTATTTAAACATGGGCCTCCTGGCCAGGGACAACTGAAATGGTGGAAATATTTGGAGGCATATGTGGACTGTTCTGCCCAAAGCTCTATGGTCATCCCCAGTGTTCTATTTACAGCACCTACCACAGCCACAGTGTAGGCAAATCTGTCTTCCTGTCTGTGAAATAATCTCAAGGCCTCCCACAATTTACCACAAGTATCACCGGATTCCTGGATCCTGCCTAGTCTTCCTGCTTCTGCTTTGACCACTGCTACCATCTCTCCCATCTAGAGTGACGACTGTGATCTTTGTATATTGAAAATCCAACCATTACCCCCTTGCTGAAACCTGCCAGTGGCCAACTATAGACACAATAAAATCAGAACTCCCCAGAATACGGGACAGAACTCTGGCTCTCGTTGCTGGCCTTAGCTCTCACTGTTCCTGCCTTCACTCACAGCCTTGCAGTGAGGTCCTCATAAACGCCACCCTCATTACTGCCACTAGGACATCTGCACTTCCAGATGCTGTTCCTCAGACCACACTCATCCATGACCTTCACGAGTCTGACTTCGTTGTATTATTTAAATCTTGGCTTAGATGTCAGGCTCTCAGAGAGGTCTTACGTGACAGTAGACATTTTTTTTTCTCCATTTGAGTTAATTTCTACTCCTAAATGGTTTATTTGGCACCTGTCACACGCCTCTTTCTTTATTATCTATTTCCTATATCAGAGTGTCTCCAGGATGTCATCATCTGACCTTGAATTCACACCAGGATAGACCTGGGCCCATCTGCTCCTTCTGTCCTCCTCCCCCCATGCAGGTTTGGCATGTTGAGCCTGGAGTTTGACTACATGTGCCAATATGACTACGTTGAGGTTCGTGATGGGGACAACAGTGACAGCCCCATTATCAAGCGTTTCTGTGGTAACGAGCGGCCAGCTCCCATCAGAAGCACGGGTTCTTCACTCCACGTCCTTTTCCACTCTGACGGCTCCAAGAACTTCGATGGCTTCCACGCTGTCTTTGAGGAGATCACAGGTAAAGAGCAGCGGTGAATGAATGGCTTTCCTCATAGAAGCACCTTTCTATGTTACTCTTTATCTAAAGTCAGGATGCCCAGCTCTCAGAAACAGCCTACGCAGTGAGGGGAAAAGAGGAATGATGAGGACATTTCTTTTTTTCCTTTTAGCAAAGCTCATCCAAAACTGGAACTAGGAATTATGCCCCCTAGAGGAGGTGGCTGAAGAGCAGATAGGCTGCATCATGTATTGATGGTGGAACCTAGGATTTTTATTCAAGTTTTTAACTATAACAATCACGTGAAGAGGCTACTCATGGTTAAGAATCCTGTGTGACTTTGGAAAGATCCCTCTGCCTTTTTGAGCCTCAGTTTTCTAAGAAGTAATAAAAGAAAGAAAAGATAGGCGGACACATAAAGAAACCCATAAAGAAGCTCACATAATCTAAATACTCAATAACTGCCTAAGCCAGGAGCCTGTAAGCAGATATCAAAAGCCTTAAGGACAAGCCCATGCTCCAGTAATAACTCCCACTTGTGTTCAGGCATGCAACCTTAATTAATTACAGACACAACACAAACAAACAAAAGACATGCAAGTAGGAATGGGTGTAGTACCTAAGAGGGGAGTGTGAAAGGCCGATGAGGTGTGAAAATGGTCAAACTATATCCATGTGCGGAACTGTCAGAAAATAAGGGTTAAAAATATTTCTTTTATGTGTGTAAGTGTTTGGTCTGCATGTAAGTCTGTGTACAACGTGCATGCCTACAGAAGCCAGAAGAGGGCATCAGGTCATCTGGGACTAGAATTACACTTGTGAGCTGCCATGTGGGTGCTGGGCATTGAACCTGTGTCCTTTGGAAAAGAACCAATGCTCTTAACTTCTGAGCCATCTCTCCAGGCCCAGAAAAAAAAAAAAAAAAAAATATATATATATATATATATATATATATATATATATATATTCAAACGACAGTACTAAATGTCATTAACTTGAGTATTGCAAGCTCAACTTCAATGCTATCCTATCTGGAGGTAGGATTTGACCTTCTGGACAAAACACTGAACTTAAAGAATCACATCAGCTCTTCTTGTGAATCTGGATTTCTCATGTTTTACACATCAGCATTCTGCTTTAATATCAATTTTTAAAGCTACCAAGTAAGAGTTAGTGGGGGAAAACAGTAAATGCGCAGTGGCAATCTAGTTACCAAGAAGGCCCTGGGAGGAAGATCTCATGTGAGAGTTTCAGGGAAGGAGGAAGTAAGGGGTCACAGAATCAGGGCTCCTTCAGCAGTGCCCTTTCACCAAGAACAGCACCCTGGCTGCCTAGTCTTCTCTCTTTGAAGATGGTGCTCACAGCAGCTCTGCACAGATACTCCTGATTGTCTGAGTGTCTGGTTCCCTCTCGTGCTGTGTCTCCTGGTGCAGTGCAGAGAAAGATCCTTTGCTGTTGGAGTGTGGTCAGCCTGCAGCTAGACACTTACTCTGTGGCTGCGCCCGTAGGCTAGACTGAGGTGTCGCAGTAAGAAACATTCGTGGAGGTTTGGAACAAGCAGCCAGATCTCGCTGTCAAGGAAGCCAGGGTGGATACATTAGCTTGTAGCCCTGTGACTGAAGAAACATCTTCCTCCTCTGAGGACCATTGGTAAACAGCAGGTGGTACCACCTCCTGCCCCTCAAATACTCCCAACTGTCTGCTTACCCTTCAGTAATTCCCTCTAGGAAAGGTCACCTGTCCCAAACCTGTACTTCAGAATCTATCTATCCTGTGGCCCCCTATCACATTCTGTCTTCTCTGCTACTTTTCTCTTTCTCCATTGGACTATGTCTTTGGCCCTTTGTTGACTTCCCTGCCGCACTTCTTTTGTCTACATAAGCTAACTACATTATGCTTTTGGGTTAAAGTCATTGTACTCTCCTTTCTGTAGGCTTGATCTAGTTTAGAAGTCCTGTGCATCTCTATACCTCTCCAGGGCCCTCACTACTATTTCACTGAACCGAGTCAAAGGATAAAGTTCTTCTACATAAACATAAATGAATTTAGAAATGATGGCTAACATGCACTAATGTTTCCCATTGGCTTTTGTAGATTAAAAAAAAAAAAAAGAGTCACTAAGATGCTCAGTAAATCACAGGTCCTGAGCTTTGGTAAGATTAGGAGAGACTGAATATTATGTGTTCTTAAAACTTCATCTGCACACTAGGCCACTGAAGCAAGAAGTTCTGCAGTAAAAAGAAAAGAAAAAAAATCTGAGCCATTACCTGTTGAGTCTTGGGGAGTCTAAAGTAATTAGGGTTTCTTGCAGTAGCATAGATGAGGGGATCCTTACAGGAGATGTGCCACTCCAGAACCATATGCCAGCGTGGGTGATGGTTCCCAAAGGCTGCATCGCTGAAGCTGCCTGTGCAATTTGCACACAGCTACACCACTGAGATTCTCTTTTTCTCCAGCTGTTGGCTGTTCGTAGAATCGGGAGGAGGAACCTGCTAGTCCCCGTGGGACAGATACCACATGACGTGGCTCTCATTGGTGTGATGCTCCCATGTGTCTGACTTATGTTTCTCAGACCACATGTGGGTATCTTGAGCACACCTTGGGTGCTTGAGACACTTCAAACGGTATCAGCATGGCTTGGGGTTTCACAGCCACTCGTTTTCTGCATTCTCGAATCCCAGCAGCATGAGTTCAGTAAGAGGCTGGGGAAAACATGTTGGTTCATGTTACAGACTTGAGATGATGGATGCACAACTGGCATTGACACTGAGGGATGGCTGCCTTTCTCTTTCAGCGTGTTCCTCGTCCCCTTGTCTCCACGATGGAACATGCCTCCTTGATGCAACTGGGTCTTACAGGTGTGCTTGCCTGGCTGGCTACACTGGGCAGCGCTGCGAAAACCGTGAGTATGCCTACCAGTGGAATTTAAGGTGTTAGTGGACTTTTTTTTTTTTTTTAGTACAGAGGGACAAGGGGGCTCACAGCACTGTAGTTTCTTGGTGTCTCCAGTGGTCTGTCTGAGATGGCACATTGTATGGGCGCCTGAGTTGTAGATGTTGTTATTGTTGTTGTCTCCATTAGTTATTGTTGTTGTCTCCATTATGTGTGTGTGGGTGTGTGAGGGGTGGGGAGGCAGAGTGGGAGGGGGAGAGGGAGAGAGAGAGTTAGAAACCTGTAGAGGCCAGAGTTTGATCTTGGGTATTTTCTTCTAATGCTCTCCTACTTATTTTTCTCCACTGAATCTGGGATTCACTGATTGGCTAGTCTGGCTGGGACTGCAGATGTGTATTGTCATGATGACTTTTTTAATAAATGGATGCTGAGAATGTATTTCATGCCATCATGCCTGCAGGGCAAGTGATTTACCCATAGAGCTATCTCTCTAGTCCCCCAAGATATAATCTCTTTTTCATCCCTCTCTCTTCTGCCTCCTTCTTGGTTTGGGTGCTAGGGTTTCATGCATGCTAAGCACACACTTTTCCACTGAACTACAACTTTAGTCCTGTGTCATGTCTTGGCTCTCCTGTTAAATCACTAGCTCTTTGGTTCTTATGGATAGCCAAAAGCAGAGTAATAACAGAACTCAGGAGCCTGGGGCCCTCCAAACAGTGGAAACCGGGAGAAACCAACTCCAACAAATAATCCACACCAAAACAACCAACCAAACAAGCAAACAAAAAGGCAGGAAATAATTCTCTTCTGATACTAGAGTTGAGCCTTTGCCAGAGGAGAGAGAAACTTGAACTCGCTGAGTTTAAGCATACATCTAACAGGCTGTATCCTTTGGTCTTGGGAAGTATCATGGGTATACTATGGTAACACAACTGCCCAGTCCTGCTGTGTGGTGCTGAGAACCATGCCATTGGCAAAGAGGAAATTCACTATTGTGACCGGAAATCATTTATTATGGTGTCTGGTATCCGAGATGGGATGTATAACATGTGTTCAAGCAGGAATTTGAGACCTAAAATTAGTGCCACTGTCTATAACTATCACCCTGAGATGAAAAACCGTACTAAAGGAGGTGTGAAGAGCAAGACTGAAGGTTTGAGGACAAACAGAGGACAACAAGAAGAGGAGTCCTAGGCAGAGCCCCTCAAAACAGATCCAGAGAAAGGTTGTGCTCAAGTAAGGCTGTAAGGACAAGCTTCTCAGAGGCGCTCTTATGGCTTGGGAGGACTGACCTAGAATTGGAGAGAAGTCAAGAGACAAGTTTTCAAGAAAAATCTTAAGCCCACTGATTGATGGGAACAAAATATGCCAGTGAAGCATAACAAGGGAACTGGGCTCTTCTATCCACATAGCAGTTAGTCACTAGCCAAGCTACCATAGGGCAATGTGAATTCTGGCATGCTGTCTTAGTTAGCTTGACGCAGCCTAGAATCACCTGAGGAGGGAGTCTCAGTTGATGGATTACCAAGATCAGACAGGCCTATGGGCTTGTCCGTGGGGCACTGTCTTCATTATTAATGAATGCAGCAGGTCCCAGCCTTCTGTGCTTGGCCCCATTCTCTGGGCTGGTGTTTCTGGGCATTATAGGAAAGCTAACTAAGCATGAGTCTGCAAATGAGCCAGCAGGTAGCCTCCTTCCATGGTTTGTGATGCACTTCCTTGGCTGCGAGCGAGTTCCATGATTGGAGATAATGCTGTGCAGAACAGCAGGCAGCCCTGCTTTCATGTTCCTGACTTGAGTTCCTGTCTTGGCTTTCCTCTGTGGTACACTGTGACCAGAAAGTGTAAGAGGGACAAACCCTTTCCTCCCTAGGTTATTTTTGGCCAGAGCACGTTATCTCAGCAGCAGAAAGGAAACTAGAACATATGCCTAGCTTCCTGAGCAGATGTTCAACGTGGTTCCAGGAACCAAGGATCAGTTTCCTGAAATCATAGAGGCTACACAATTCAATGGGGGGAGGAAAAGGGGAACACGGGATCTAGAGGAAGGGCTCCAAGGGCAGAGAATGACCAACAGTGTCTTCTGCGGTCATTCCTAACCAACACACCTGTTCTGTGCATCTCCGCTGTCTCAAAAGTTGATGGATTTTTTGGGTATATGTTCCCTAGCAGTCCTTCCAAATAGCGCAGGTGGGAGTTACAGGTTCAACAGTGGGTCTCTGAGTATGCCGCTGTATTCTGCTAAAACCCCTGGTTTGGCTCAACTGGCCTGAATGTCACTGTGTAAGAGGCTTAGAAATGATGCTGGGCGGATGAGGACCCGCCCTCATTTTCGGCTTCTGTGTTGTATATAGGGCAGACTAGAGGAGTGTGGCTTCTCCCTTGCTTTATGGATTTGTATATCGGTCTAGATTTTCAACAACAGCAAACCAAGATTCAGGAGGGGAAATCAAGAAGAGGAAGGCTTCATTTCTGAGTGTCCAGCCACAGTTTTGATAAACAGAGGTAGAACTAGGAAAAAGCAAAACATGACCACACAGTCCAGATGCCTTTAAGAACTGTTTCAAATCAGCAGAGAAGATTGAGTTGTTCCAGAAGTTATGACCAAACTATGCATGGGTAGCTTGTGAGTCAAAACTGGATTTCTCAGTAAAGTTATTCTATCAAAAGGAAAACAAGCATCATGAAAAAATAATGTAGCAAAAGGCACATGGATTGTAACTTGATTCAATCAATGGTCTCAAATCACTGTAAATACCAGGCAAGACTGGCATGTAGCTCTGTGATTTATCTAGTATATGCATGGCCTGAGGATGAATCCCCAGCCCTGCAAACAACAACAAAGCCACAAATAAATAAAAACAAACAAACAGGGCTGGAGAGATGGCTCAGTGGTTAAGAGCACTGGCTGCTCTTCCAGCAGTCCAGAGTTCAATTCCCAGCAACCAGATGGCAGCTCACAGCCATCTATAATATGATCTAATGCCCTCTTCTGGCATGCAGGTGGACATGCAGAGAAAGAGAGAGAGAGAGAGAGAGAGAGAGAGAGAGAGAGAGAGAGAGAGAAAGATTCTGTAAGAGGAAAATATACTTCAAGGAAGTCATTGTAGACCCTTGTTTGGCCATTCCTACTCAGCACCCATAGTCAAGGCTTTAAAGAATGTTTCTTCATGGTCAGAGTGAGCCTCTATAATGTAAATATATATATATATATTTATATGTATTATATGATATACAATATGATATATTATGTATAATATATAATATATCAACATAATATAATATTAATATGTAATAATATATATTAATATATACATATGTAATACATAATAATTCCCTTGACCATCTCCATATATATGTTAACATATATATTAATTCTCCATTTCCAGTTTTTAAAATACAGAAAACTGTGATATTCCCATCCCAGTTCTGTGTAGTTGTAGCTGGGTGAAGAGTTGAGTGTGGACATCTCATCGGTGATTTGCTAACATCGATATAGGAAATTAAATTTTTATCATTTTTTCTGTAAGATCCAGCTTTGTTTTTCCTGATGGGAAGTTCAGGATGAATTCTAACTAACTCCGTTAGGGAGACATAACAAAAACCCAGCCATGGCCATTTACCTTGTAATTTCTGAACCGATCTTAGCCATTGTCCATGGAAGTATGTCCACAAGGAGGGCAAAACTGATGGGGATTATATTTATTTCCCTCTGAGGGTATCAATGGGCTGGAACAATCTCCCCAGAGGAAATTCTTTCAAAATTAACAGGAAATGCAGGCAAGCATTTGGAGAATCTCCAAACTCCAAATTGTCCAAATTGGACCTGGAACTTGATTTTAAAGGCAGCTTCAAGAGCCCCAAAGGCAGCACTATCCTTTACTGACGTGCCTTTAAACCTGGTCCCCAGCAAATTCAGAGCCAGGGGTCAGAATTGAACATTCCTCACATATTTTGTGGTATCTCAGACGCAGATCTTACGATGCAGCACGGCGAGAGTCCAGGTGATTGATGACCTCTGATCAACACTAAGCCCTTTCCCCTAAATGAGGTTCATCTGCCCCCACCCCCCGTTTCCAAACACTGTGCTTGACTTGAATGGTTCCCTTTATCTCTCCTGGCCACACATGGGAGTGGAATAAGAATAGATTTTTCACTTAACTCCAGAAGAAACATATATTTAAAAAGTCAAATGGGGGCTTGAGGGAGGAGGGTTGCTCCATAGGTCAAGAGTTTGCTACACACAAGTGTGAGGCGTTCACTTCAACCCTTGCCCCCCCACCCCCTCGCCCAGAACACACATAGATCCAGATGCCTTAGTGAATGCTTCTGTAATCTCCATGCTCCTGAGGGGAAATGGAAGATAGAGACAGAAGAATTCCTGGAAGCTGGTGGGCCTGGTGTGTGCAGTGTGTGTGTGTGTGTGTGTGTGTGTGTGTGTGTGTATGTGTGTGTGTGTGTGTGGCAGGGGGTGGGGGAGGAGGTGGTGGGTGGAGAATCCCTGCCTCAAAGGTGTAAGGCAAGGACCGATACTGGAGGTTGTCCTCAGTCTTCCCATACACGTGCCCCTAACCTTTGCATACCAACATTAATATACACAAACACATGCATACATCAAACACACGATTATTTTTAAGAAGTCGAACAGTATCAGGCACATAAAATAAAAGTGAAATATTTTTCCTGACCTGTGTGTTTTCAGAGGAACTACTTTGCGGAACACTGGGTCTATCTTTCTCAGACTTTTTCTAAGACGTGCAAAGTTAAATTAGTTATATAAATCACACTTTAAGCCAGTGACTCTCAACTGGGTTAACTTTGCCCTCCATGTCCACACATACATTTGGCAATGCTGGAAGATGGTGATTTGGATGCAGATTGGGTGAATGGTGCATCCTATGAGCAGAGGGATGCGGCTGTTATCTGGTCCCAGTGCCAGCAGTAACAAGATGGGGTGCGGGGGACCAGCCTCAGCCAATTGTGGGTCTCAAGATTAGGAGGAATGGATTG